ACCTATTTCTACTATTTTCCTTCCAAGAAATTCTTAACACTAAGTTCTTTCATAGAAATTGCAAACGGGAGAAGGAAAATTTTCATTTTTATGTTGGAGATGGAGGATGGTACTATCACCCAACAAGCAGATATTTCAAGGGCCTTTGTGAACCATTTTAAATCAATCTATAGGAGGCTAGGAACTACCAGAAGGAGTCTAGGACTTGAAGGACCTCTATTGGAAGAAAGGTGGAGAGTTGTTTTATAACAGTAATTCAAGGAAGCAGAGGTCAAGGAAGCTATTTCTGCCATGGATCGCTCAAAAGCTTCTGACCCAGATGGCTTCACCATGGCTTTCTACCAAGAAGGTAGGGATTGGATTAAGGAGGATCTAATGAAAATTATCCGAGGTTTAAATGCCACTTTTATTGCTTTGATCCCTAAGAAGCTAGGTGCCAATCATCCTAAGGACTTCAGGCCAATCAGTTTGGCGATTAGCCCCTACAAAATATTGGCTAAAGTATTGTCTTTGCGATTAAAAAAGGTTCTTTCCTCAATTATTTCTCACTTCCAAGGGGCGTTCGTTTAGGAGAGGCAAAAATTCTTATTGCTAATGAATGTGTTGAAGACTTTAAGAAATCAGACAAGAAAGGAATTGTGTGTAAATTGGACTTAGAGAAGGCTTATGATTTTGTGGAATGGTAGTTCCTGATTGAGATATATAAATAAATGGGGTTTTGGTGCAAAATGGTGCAAATGGATAAAGGGATGCCTGAAGACTTGTCACTTTTCAGTGGTGGTGAATGGGAGAGTAGAGGACTTTTTTAGTGCCTTTAGAGGAGTAAGGCAAGGGGATCCATTCTCCCCATTCCCATTTACTCTCATTGCGGAGGTGTTTAGCAGATTTGTGAAAGCGAATGAGGGAGCACTAATAAAGGGATGGAAGGTGAAGAGATAGGGTAAGGGCGACCCATCTACAATTTGCAGATGGCATCATAATTTCCTGTGAAAAGGGGGGGAGAACATGATTCGAGGAATTTGAGATTGTTGGTGAATCTTTTTGACAGAGTGACAAATTTGAAGGCAATCTTATCAACATAGTTTTCAATGCGCCAAGGCGAGGCTAGGTGACAGGGGGGCACCTTGTCGCCTAGTTGCCTAGGCAGTTGCCTAGGCGATGGATTTTTTTTAAGTAAAACCATATATCCTAGAGTAGTTACCTAGGTTCCATAACCATCTTCCCTAGGTTCCCTAGGTTCCCTAGGGTCCCGATACCTGTTTACAGGTGTTTTCGGGGACCCATATTTTTAAATAATATATATATATTTAAAAATGAAATTGAAAACTAAAGAAATAAAAAAATAGGGGGAGTATCGTTACAAGTACCAATACACCTCTGCCAATACACATTGGCAGAGGTGTATCGATACTTTGAACCATGGGTTCAATACAGCAGTTAGCAATGTTTGCGTTGATTAAACCCTAACAAAATAAGAAAATAATAAAATGAAATTAGTATATAAACACATAGAATGAATATTCTAGTTTAATAATGTCTATTTTATAAATATAGTGTCAAAATATTAAAAATATAAAAGTATTTTATAACCCAGTGCACAGAACTGCTTGGCAACTAGGTAGGGCGAGCCTCCAAGGGCACCTCGTCGCCTAGGCGTTGCCTTGACAAATATGCTTATCAAGAGTGTGGTTGCTGGTATCAATTTGAGTCAAGCTGAGATTGAAGATTGGGCTAGGGAGTTAGGGTGTACTTCAAGTGCATGGCCATTAAGATATTTGGGGCTACCTTTGGGAGTGAATCCTAGAGTGTTATTCTTTTGGGATACGGTGGTGGAGAAATTGGAAAGGAAGTTAGTGGGATGGAAGAGGAACTATACCTCCTTGGGAGGTAGAATAATTTTTATTAAATCTACATTGGCTAATCTTCCAATTTATTACCTTGCAGTCTTTTGCATGCCTCAAGCCATTGTGAAAAGAATTGAGAAAATAATGAGGAACTTTCTCTGGGAACCTGGGGAGGTGAAGAGTGATCACTTAATTAGATGGGAGATGGTTTGTAGGAGGAAAGAGTGTGTGGGCTGGGTTTGGGAAGACTGAAGGAAAAGAACTAGGCTCTTTTAGGGAAATGACTTTGGAGATTTCCAAGGGAAACAGACAAACTATGGCATAGAGTGGTAGCAAGCATTCATAGGCTTTCAGAGAACGGTTGGGATGCTGGAATATCTAACAGCTTCTAGTGCTTCTCCTTGGAAGGCTATCCACAAAATTCTTCCACATTTTTTGCCTCATACCAGGTATGCTACCAACTCAGGAAGCAAAATCTAATTTTGGGAGGATCTATGGGTAGGAGAAGCTCCTTTAATGGAGTTTTTTCCTTCTCTGTTTGTTACTTCATCTTTCAAAGGTAGACCCATTTCTGAGTTCTTGGTCCATTCCCCTTCTCAGTCTGGAACTGGTTGGAATTTGGGTTTCTGTAGGAATGTCAGGGATTCAGAGTTGGATCTTGTGTCACAATTGCTTCTTTTGTTGGATGGTGTTATTATTGATAATAGCAGAGTGGATAGCTGATTATGGATGGGTAACTCTGGAATTTTCACTTGTGCTTCATTCTTTAAAATGCTGGTTCCCTCTCCTTCATTTCCTATGTCTTTCCCTGTTAAGGAAGTGTGGTGTTGTCCAATCCCCCCTAGGGTGAGTGCTTTTTGTTGGGAGGTTTACCATGGTGTGATTAATACTCATCATTTTTTACGAAGGAGGAGACCTGGTTGGTACCTATCTCCAAACTGGTGTGTCCTGTGTGAACCAAATGGTGAATCTGCTCATCACTTATTTCTTGCCCTTTTGCTTGTAGTGTTTGGGATTGGTTTTTTTCCTTGTTTGGTTGCAGGTGGAACACTCCACTTAGCTTGGATAAATTGTTTGGTCCCTTGACTTTCAGCTTGCCAAGAAAGAGGGGAAGATTAATTTGGAAGTGCACAAGAGCTGTAGTGATCTGGACATTGTGGGAAGAAAGAAATAAGAGAATTTTTTAGCAGAAAAAAAAAGTAGGCTCTGATTTTAAGTATAATGGTAAAGGTGACACGTTGGGTGAAGACAACTGAATTGTTTCTAGACTTCACATTTGATGATATTTTTAGACAATGGGGCACAATTGCTGCATCATCCTCCGCTAAGAAGATTCAAAGATGACTCAATGGGTGCAGAACTAAAGGCTGCTGTTTTGGGGGTCCAAAAGGCATGGGAAATAGGGATCAGGAAGTTGTTGATTGAAGGAGATTCAAAGGTGATCATCATCTGGCTGAAAGATAGCAACAAAACTCCATGGTATTTCAGAAATGAGATGAAGAAGTTTAAAAGATTCTCAAAAGACATGCAGGTGAATGTGCAATGGGTACCTAGATCAGAAAACTGTTTAGCTGATTATTTTGCTAGGCAAGGGGTCAATAGAGGGAATTGTTTTTGGGCTCAGCTGTAACTGTAAGAATATGGTTCTGCTTTTTGTCCTAAGAGCTTGGGGTAGCCAAGGCTACTCATATTGTAAATTTTCTTCCTAAATTAATAAAATAACTTTTCTGTTGAGAGACCTCTAATGTCGATCTTCACTCTTCAGTGAAATGTAACTGGGACACTGGGTTATGTACTTATGTAAACTGGGGAAATGGGAATGGGTCTCTCTCTCTCTCTCTCTCTTCAATACACACAAACACACAGAGGCACTCAATGAATTGAAGACACTGAACTTGCATGTCAGGTTATCCCCAAGAAACTCCCTGAAAGGCTGCAATACAATGCCTTCCACAATTACTTATCAACCTCTGATATCACTCTTCACTGGCTAAAACTGTGAATCACGGCCTTGATGTATTGGTGTAGCCACACTTTGAATTGGATAAAGTGGCATAAAGTGAATCATGACATCAAAGGCTATGGTTTCACAGTTTTAGCCCAACAATATTTCATGTGGAATAGCTTCTCGTTACAGTTCAGTAATGCTGGTGAATAGATAGATGCTACAGATGAGGAAAGTGCCATACACTGATTTTCTTTGGATTTAGCACTACATTACATGAAATACTAGAAATTAGGGGCATCTTTAAAGTTTGAAACTTGACAACAGGTGTGGAAATTACTTATCAGACTAGATAATGGGTGAAATTTTAGGGCCTATGGAATAGGGGTGGAGTCGGAATTGGAATGGTCATTCTGATTCCAACCGTTTGGTTGGATGGAATCAGAACCTGATTTCCATTCTTGGTGAAATGCCATTCCCAATAACAATTCCTTCCCCCTCCCTTACAAATGAGATCCCATTCCAGCTGATTCTCATTCTGATTCCAATTCCCATTTGAACCAAACAGGTTATGGGAATAAACCATTCTAATTTTGATTCCAATTCCAATTTTTAATACGTATCAATTGTTCAGTTATGACACTTTGAGCTTTAACTACAGGCATGATAAAAAAAATCATTAAACTCATTGAATTGAACTTCACCAAATATCTCCAAATATATTCCTCTATTGAAATCTAGGATTTACTCATTACATGGATGTCATTGACGGGACCACCAGTAACTTCATAGGCTGTATAGATGACTTTAATGAGCCTTTCTAATAGCAGCAAATCAGTAGAGTGCCCTGGAACTAGCACTCTGATACAAAATGATATGGATCTTCTCATGAGAAGTGAAGAGGATGAGATTGACATATGTTATTTGCTACATGAATCCCGTTTCGCCATTCCATTCTGTTAAGTGCCATATCCATTCTTTGGATGAATGTTCATTTCTACAAACTCAAATGGTGATTGTCCTGTTAGGAGAGGGATGATCAGGAGTGAATTGTTTTTGAGGGAGTTCCCATCTTTACTGTTGCAATCTTGTTGGCGTTGGGTGTATGTTTCTTTGTCATACTGTGTTATAACCTTCATTTTTTCTTTGCTTTACTTGCAACCACACAAATACCTTTTTTCTGATTTGCCACTGCTTTCTTTTCTTTGTAGGTTTTTTCTATGCTTCCAGGATTTAGTGCAGAGTTAATGCCAAAAGGTCGTGAAAAGGAAAGCCAAGCAAAGATCAAGCGTTCCATGACTATGATGGATTCCATGACAAATGAAGGTAATGCTGGTCTAGAAAATGTGGTTTATTTTTCATATCCTGCCATGTGGACAAGTATCAGCTGTTCATCACATCCTATTGGTAAAATTAGAGGGGCTATTCTTTTGTCTATGAAGAGATTGGGTGACAACTAGGCCAACTTAATTATGTAAACAACCTCCCTCCCTAAAGAAAGAAAGAAAAAGAAAAGCAAGAGAAGGTTTAAGAAAGAAGAAAAAATACTAAGACTACTTCCACGTGCCTGTAATTGAGTTGGGGTTGAGTTCAGGTTATGGTGTATGCAACAGCTAAATTCCCATGGCTAAAAAAATTAACATTGATTTACATTTTTCCTATTATTTATTTTATGTATCATCTTTATTGTCTCATCTTTTTCCACCAATTTTACCCCACTTCCTGCTCCGTCACCATGGCCTGCTCTATTCACAAGGTGGGGTGGACTGGTTGGGCGCATTGTGCCCAAGCCAATCCTTAAAATTCATTTCAAGATGGATGGATTTAGCCATTGATGGATGACCAAGCCTTTTCAATAAATGTTGGTAAATCCAACTTTTCATATTTTATTTGCAAAACAATGAAAACATAATTGTGAAATGCCATTTCCTTGACAATTTTACTTTAAGAAATAATATATGAAAAAATCCTACAATAATTAAAAAGCAAATTTCAGGTTCAGTTGCTATGTGTTGGCCAGAAATCTAGTTCTAAGCATGGCCTATATGTTGAATTCAACAGATGTACCAGGCTTGTGTCTGCCAGCCCAGCACAATCTATGCTCAGCAATAGCTTCTAGTCTGATTTTCCCATCCTTTCTTAATTGTTCTTCCCCCAGAGGCCCATTTTTTCATTCTTAATTTTGCAGAGTTGGATAGTTCAAACCTGAAGCTTATGAATGAGTCTCGGATGATGCGGATAGCACGAGGTGCTGGTCGCCCTGTTAGAGAAGTGATGGAGATGTTGGAAGAATATAAGCGCCTTGCCAAGATTTGGAGCAAGATGAAAGGGCTCAAGATTCCAAAGAAGGGGGAAATGAGTGCATTGTCTCGAAATATGAATGCACAACATATGAGTAAAGTCCTTCCACCACAGATGTTGAAGCAAATAGGTGGTATGGGTGGCCTACAAAATTTGATGAAGCAAATGGGTTCTTCAAAAGACATGATGGGGATGTTTGGTGGGGGGGATAAGTAATACCAACAACTTGTTTGTTTAGTTGTATGAAATTTCTTGAGAGGGATAAGCTTTGTGCCTTGTGCAGGATTAAAGGCATTGTTATAGGTCAATTGTAACAATCATAGATGCCCATTAACTTCACTGCCCAGGCATTTTAGTTGTCAAAGTTAGGGGTGGATTTGAGCTGAGCCAAACCGAATGAATATTTGGCTACTTGAGCTCGATTTGGCAGAAAAACAACATGCTCAAGTTCAGGTTTTAGCTCAATTCATGTTAGAGACATGAGTTCAAATTCAGTTTGACTCAAAGGCTTGTATGTTCAAGCTCACCCTGGCTTGAGCTTGATAATGTGCCAAGCATCATTAGGTTCAAGTTCAATTTGATTAGCAAATAAACCTACATAATGGACTTGAGCTCAGCTCGAAGCTTGATATGAGCTAGGTCGAATCGAGCTTTTTACATGTCAAATTCAAATAGCTTGTAAAAAAGCTCAGTTTGTATCCACTGTAGTTAAAAGTGCGGGGGCAGTTTTTAGTTGTCAAAGGGGAAGCCCCGATATTGTGATAATTTTCAGTTGGAGTCATTTTTTGTTTTTTTAACTATTTAAGCATGGACCATTTTTTTATACACATCTATTGAGGGGTCCTTGGACCGATGTATATGTGACGATTTCATCTATGTAATGAATGGTTTTATCATGGATTTTGTAAAGGGATTAGATTAAGTGATTAACACAAATCACTCTTCATTTCTTTGTTTATAATCATCATTGTTTAAGAATTATCAGTATCATATTTAAGTAAATTTTACGTCTGTGGAATTCATACTTGTAGTGGGCAGTGAACGTCAACTTGCTTTCCCCCATTTGTGTTATTGCATGAATTAGCTTTTTTTTTTCTCTTGGGGGCAAGATTCAAAGTATTGACACATATCGTTCCCGAAACCCCTCCGATACACCCCTATAGTGGGTGTATAGGGGTGTATCGGGAGTCTGACCGGTTCAGGGGGTGGAGGAGCCCTAAACTGGTCCCCCTGAACCAGTTTCAAAAATAAAAAAATAAAAAAACACTATCAATTCGCCCAATATGACCTTACTGGCATATCAGGCGTATCAATATTTTGAACCTTGCTTAGGGGTCGTTTGATAACAGGTGAAATGGCTGAACTAAAAAAGCTTATTACTTTTTCTTAGTAAATAAGTTTTTCAGGAGGCTGTCGGCTCCTTATTAGGACAACTTGGGCCAGGCTAGCCTAAACCCAACCTGGAACCAGCCTAAAAAAATAGGGTTGGGTTGGATTGAAATTTGGGTTGGGGTAAAAAAAGTACGAACCTGATTCAACTTTGGAACTTTGGGTTGGGTTAGGGTTGAAGCCTTGACCAGCCCAAACATACTTAATATTTGGCTGTGTATATAATTACTTATCAATGTTGTAAAAATCAAGTTAAAAACAAAATTGTTTTTGCCTCCAATTTTTTGGGTCCTCAGTTTAACCGTTTGGATCGAATGAGTTGACCCACGACATCACAGAATGATAGCGTTGATTTTTATCC